GTAATTAGCAAGCAATTTAAATCTTACCTCCCCCATAAGGCTCTTTAATATTCTTATGATCCTACCCCTCTTCATTGGAAGTGAATCAGTAGTCACGTCCCACACCTTTAAACTCTGTTAGTGATGACTAATACCCCCCCCCCCCGTTCCCTCATGTGATCCTCTCCCAATAATCCTTTTCCTTCCCCTCCACTGATTGTTTGGAAATCTAGCATAGCTCCGCGACAAGGCTTCTAGCAGTATCCACAGAGGGAAAGTGTGCGGATTCATTTACGGTTTATAATGACCAAGGTGATAAACAAAAAACATCTTGCTTTTTCTCGTTGTATTCAACATTCATGTTTACTCTTTCATGGTACAGAAGAAGTCAGCAATGATGGCCAAGATCCATACAAGGAAGAGGACTGCAATGATATTAATGGCTCTTACAACCATACCTGTAAGTGGGACTATGTTTGACCCTTTCAGCAATGCAAGGATGTGAAGGCGAACTTAACCAAAAGTAATTCCCCCCTCAACTGTACAGGTAAAGGAAAATACACAAGAGACAGTCATGAAAAGAAACTTATATCATCTTAACTTATATGTAGAATGACATTACTTGCCAATGGATTTCCTGCGACTCCATTGGCATCCAACCGTAATAACTTGAATCTTGACGGGCAACTCGGATTACTTTGTTCTATGCTCGTTCAAAACACGCCTTTTTTTTCTTTAATGAGCAAGTTCTTTTCACAATACTGAGGTACGATTGCAATCATTTCCATGCCGTCAAAATAGTAAGCTATCATCTAGATACCTTCCACACTACCGCCGGTGGTCTGCAAGACTTCTCTTTCACTCCTGAATATGTCAAGAATGGTTATCATTAGTTTGCTCGAATATCATCCGAAAATGAAATCTATTCATTTAAAAAATTGAGAAATGGATTTACACGTGGTTTTACATAATAAGGGTGTGATATTTTCAATGGAATTCATGGAGCCTTAACAGCCATTGTTTTCCCAAAGAACTCTAATAACTAAGGTATAACTATGACATGATAAAATACTATTTTTGCAATTATCATTCCATCTTGTAGTCGACCCATGTGTTAATTACAAAGTCCTGAGTAATGCCGATAGAAGGAGCACTTACGTCACAGTCATCAATGAAATGTCATGTGACAATGGATTCTGGGGATGGTATCGCCTCGTGGGAGCAACAGGAACAAGAATGCCAGACAAATATATCAGACGACATAGATGCAATACAGTTCTTCCAGGCTGATTGAATGATAACTATCCTTCAATGGGAGATGGTAAAATTTCCAGAAGGGTCTGCTTTTTCCAGCTGCCCTATTACTGTTGCAGGTTTATATTGGTTCATATTGTAACTTTACATCGCATTTTGTTTAATCTATTTGTCCTAACTGTCAACTTGAATTCGTATTGTAGCTCTAAAGACCGTGAGGTTCGAGCAAATCGTTTGTATTGCGTGTGCTTGACGTCCGTGAATTATGGTCATTGTGGCTTTCGCGCAAGATGGAGCCGCATAAACTTTGATAGATATATTCCGACTCGAATCGTCAGTATTTGCTCCAAGATCTCTCGAGGCCAGAGCAAGTTTTCAGACTAAAATTACGCGACAGTGGATGAAAGTCCTCTCATAATTAGAGAACTAATTAATCCTAATCGATCCTTTATTAGCGTACGGTGTAGTTTCCTTAGGTAAAGAATGGAGTATTAGAGAACGTGATAGAAATCAGCTGAAAATTACACTTATTGCAAAATTTGAGATCGTGATGACAAATGCGTAGTTTTTCCTGAAACAAATATTTTATCTCTGTCATTGTTCAGTGGCATTGTAGAGGGAACAAGGAAGTTCTTATCTAAAGCTAATTGTCGTTTTGCATTGAAACCAGGTATTTGTATCGTAACCATAGCAATCATACTGTTATAAAAGATAGCCCTTTTACCTCAAGAGCAGCGAGGGACCAAAGAAATTTGCATCTTGAGAGGTAAGAGTTGTTTATATCAAAAGCACTGATAGATGATTTGAGTAATACTTCCCCTGGAAAATGTATACTCTTTACGGAAAGGGTGTTTTTAAAATTTAGGCTTTTTATGTGACTGCATTATCGGGATATGTTCACCTGATGTTCTTAAAAATATGTTTATAATGTTATTGTCTTAAACGTTAAGACATTCCTCATTGAGTGTAATTATGAAGCAATTGAAGTTAATGATATAGCAATTTGTGTGGTAAAATCCCCGTTTCTAATCTGTTGATGAACACCGATAGAATCGTAGCCCCTCAAAACTAATGTGTTCCTACCTGGCATAAAGGAAGGCATTGAAAACGTGTTCATTTGCAAACTTTAAAACGCGTACCCACGTATGTTATTTGCAAGGGCAGGACTGACAGCTGTTAATTTTGTTAACATCTCATTTTCAATAGCAATAGGTCTGTTTCTATTACTTAATCCATTATTAAGTGCAGGTGGTCGACACGAAAATGG